CTCTAGATTATATCGAAAAAAATATATACATATCAGGTTCATGTAATATCTTTGACATGTAGGTTCAATAGCCCACACTAAGATCTAATGTTATGCGCACTGAAAATCATTATGAGTTCCACGTAGCCCATCCCTCAAACTGTCGATTCCATTCATAAAATTAATACGACTTGTTTACCGATTCCCTATCATTTTTATCGAGTTCCCTCCTACCTAATCCTTTGAACTTTTCAAAGATGTTTCAATGGATCCTTAAAGCACCTAATGAGCGCATAATTTTTACACACTCACACTCCTCCCCCGATTTAATCGTCTCTATCTTTCTGCCAACTTCACACCGAAATTTCAAATGTAAAATATCTTTTTTGGAGGGAAAGCTCTTAAATTAATTTTGGGGTAGCAAAATAGCGCATAAAAAGCGCCTAATTCCTAAATATTTTCTGAGTCATTTTGAGGACCTAATTCTGCTAATTTCACAGACCTCATATTTGCTATCGAACATGTCAATAGAAAAATCAAAAAACTTGTAAAACATTCTATGGAATTTCTATGGAATTTTCCATCGAATTCGTGAGGATTTCTTATTAAATTTTAGCAGAAAAAGAATAAACTGTAAAAACCTAAAAGTGAAAACAATAAGAATTTTTAAAAACTGTATATAACGATAATACCGACGGCAGTGGCCGTGCGGTTAGAGTGCTAGACTCGTGTGCCAGTGATCCGGGTTCGATCCCGGGCGTCGGCGGTCAAAATTTGTAGCGCTCCAATCTCACAGTTTCACTGTTGAGCGGTAGTCTCGTCAAAGAGACAACTGTACCTGAGCAGGTTTTTTACTCAAGTGATGTTTTCCCTAGTCCCTTGTTGAATGCGGTACAGGGGGTAGGATGGGAACAAATCGTAAAAACCCGAAAGGGTATACGAAAGAGAAAAATTATATAACTATAATATGAAAGATAAAACTTTAGAAGTAAACCATTCGGAAGCATATTGCTGATCTATTATCCAAAAAACAATACTATATATACACTATACACACTATAGATACTATGTATATATACTATATATACTATATATACTATATATATACTATAATCTATATATACTATATATACACTGTATACACTACAGGAGCGATTCCCCGCTTGTTTCTTCTTGAATTTATTTCCATAAATAATTGTAGAAATTTTATAACAATTTATGACAGCTTCATAAAGTGACCAGAGAGCGAGATTTGCTCAAAGAGGAAAATGCAGAATTGAAAATTCGACTAGAAAAAATGGAGGAGGATATTGAAGAAGGGGAACTCCGAATGGAATTATCGGTTGGAGTGTTGAAGAGCACTGTGGAAGAGGTTGTGGGATCAACTCCAAAAAAACAGAAGCTGATCACTCTCGACAAGGAAACAAAACTGGTGAGTCGACAATCATGCTGTAACGATGTATGGAGTTTCGTATCTACTATTTATTTCTATTCGGTTACTGTTCGGGCTATTTTTAATTGTTGGTCAAATTCTCACATAATTCGACTCTTCGGTTTTCTATTGAATTTTAGACACGTCGAAACTCCATCCACGTTGTCTATTCTTATTTTCGCGAAACAATGCCAATTCTCTTGCCAATTTAATGAGTTGTTTTACTATGACCAATTAGAATTGTCCCTCAATGCAAATGACTAGGGTTAGTTATTTCTGGTTTAAATGAATACCCAATGTCCGGACACTGGGGCCTCTAGCGTTGCGTAACCAGTAGTTAACCCATGATAACAGGGGTCACTCCACTGGGTCAATGCTGCCTGAATTATCGACAAAAATATTGACATTTGTCTTGGCGCTTAATCAGCTGTTCGGGATCAATGGCGCGTGAGTACTTCGGGTTCCCCACTTCAGTGACAGATGAGAGTGTTTTGTTTCGTAATCCCTTCATGATGCCTTGGTGGTTAATCTCCGAGTATTGACTTCAGATTGGGATGAATACTCTTCAGGTTGCCTGAATCTCCAAGTTATCAAATCCTCTATGGCACCTAGCTTTAGTTATCATTCGGGTTATGTCCAGTTTTATTTGTGATGTGGAAGTCAGATTTTTCTCCAGGACAGTCGTTGGTGCTTATGGGGACGGGCGGATTATTGAATGATTAATTAGCCTAAACAGGGAGGAAGGTGGCAAGTCCCATGGATAATCAAAACCTTAATAAACCCGAGCTAAATCCGAGTATTATCACCTTATCAGTGACAGAGGCTATGCCCTCGTCACAATACATTCCATTCAATGACAGGACATCCTTTTTTGTGGTACCTGGCTGAAAAGTTTACTTTTCGAGACGGTTGCGCGTGCACCGCGATCTCAATAATCGACCAGCACTCGAGTTCCTAATAAGTCGATGACTGGTCGATAACACGATCCCGACCTCCAAAATTGACCAGCACTCGAGTCCCTAATAAGTCGATGTCTGGTCGAGAACACGACCCCGACCTCGCAAATCGACACATACTCGAGTTCCTAATAAGTCGTTGTGTGGTCGATGATAAGACCGCGACCTCAATAATCGACCAGCACTCGAGTTCCTAATAAGTCGATGACTGGTCGATAACACGACTCCCGACCTCCAAAATTGACCAGCACTCGAGTCCCTAATAAGTCAATGTCTGGTCGGTAACACGACTCCCGACCTCCCAAATCAACCAGCACTCGAGTCCCTAATAAGTCGATGTCTGGTCGGTAACACGACCCCGACCTCGCAAATCGACCAATACTCGAGTTCCTAATAAGTCGATGACTGGTCGATAACACGACCCCGACCTCCATAATCGATTAGCACTCGAGTCCCTAATAAGTCGATGACTGGCCGATAACACGACCTCGACCTCCAGAAACGACCAGCACTCGAGTCCCTATTAAGTCGATGTCTGGTCGAGAACAGGACCCCGACCTCGCAAATCGACCAATACTCGAGTTCCTAATAAGTCGATGACTGGTCGAGGGGATCGCTCTGGCCGTTCTCCAATTATTCTCCAAAAACATGCGAAAATCGTGAAAAATACTTTTTTTTTTTACTAATCCGATCATTTTTCCAGCATTTCCGTTTCAATGAATTCATTTGATAATGAATGAAGACGGATATTGGTCGGGAAGTTATTGGTTCGACCTGTAATAGGTGACACCCACTTAAAACCACCCGCAAAGTGAGCGACCGTAACGAGCGAATAGCAACCTCGACGAACTCTAACGCACCCAAAAAGTGAGCGAGCAAACAATAACCCGGTCGAATTTTTTCTGTCATGTTCTAGGTCCACCTGCCGCACGATAAAACCGTCACTGCTGGCCAGTACGAAACCTTGCTGGACCAGAAAACGTTCCGCAAGAGAGTAAACAAACTCGTCGAGCTCTACTGGCCAGATAAGCTAAAGAGGGACAATCTGTACTTTGAGATAACAGACAAGAAAGCTCAACAGAATCCAGCAGCGGAGTTGATAACTGATGAGGACTTGATGATCCTGAGAGGTACGTGCGACACACACACACTTACTCACTCCCATGGACACACTCACTCAGTTTGTCATCTTTTATTTCCACACAGATCTTCTGGAAGCACTACAGGCTTCTCACTGTTTGCCTGCTCTGGACGACAAGGGAGTAGAAATACCGTGGGAATTTGCCTACAAATGGTTCATTGGTGCGAAACTCACGTCGGACAGGAACGTACGGAAGCGATCCAACCGAAAACAGCCAGAGCAGGCAAAGGGGGCAGTTGGGGACGGGGATAGGACTGCAAGCAAGTCCACCACGTTGAAGAGAAGACATGTCGATGATCAATGCCTCCAAAAAAAAAAAAAGAAAGGCAAATAGAGTGATATCATGTCTATCTGTTAAATAATAAAATAAAAATCCAGTTGGAGCATTTTTTTAGTCAACATTTGATCATTATCCAACGTAACTAATTCCATTCGATCTTCATTCGATTCGAGTCCATGACGGTTCTACTTTGTTTACGCGCTACCACCCTCATAATCGGCCAACAGTTAACAGCACGATGACTAGCCCATATCACTCGTCTCACCTTTCAAATCAACTAACACTCGAGTAACTAACAAATCGACGGTTAGTCGATATCGAGTGGTTTACCTCTATGATCGGCCAGCACTCAAGTTGCTAATAAGTCGATGACTGGTCGACATCATGGCCCTTACACCCAACATCGACCAATACTCGAAATTCTAGCAAGTCGATAGCTGGTCGATGTCATAGCCTTCACACTCCACATCGACCAATACTCGACTCCCTAATAAGGGAGTCGAGTATTGGTCGACACGACCCCGACCTCCCAAATCGACCAATACTCGAGTTCCTAATAAGTCGATGTCTGGTCGATAATACGACCGCGACCTCAATAATCGACCAGCACTCGAGTCCCTAATAAGTCGATGACTGGTCGATAACACGACCCCGACCTCGCAAAACGACCAATACTCGAGTTCCTAATAAGTCGATGACTGGTCGATAACGGGACCCCGACCTCCAAAATTGACCAGCACTCGAGTCCCTAATAAGCCGATGGCCGGTCGATAACACGTCCCCGACATCCAAAATTGACCAATGCTCGAGTTCCTAATAAGTCGATGTCTGGTCGATGATACGACCGCGACCTCAATAATCGACCAGCACTCGAGTTCCTGATAAGTCGATGTCTGGTCGAGAACACGACCCCGACCTCGCAAATCGACCAATACTCGAGTTCCTAATAAGTCGATGTCTGGTCGATGATACGACCGCGACCTCAATAATCGACCAGCACTCGAGTCCCTAATAAGTCGATGTCTGGTCGGTAACACGACTCCCGACCTCCCAAATCAACCAGCACTTGAGTCCCTAATAAGTCGATGGTCAGTCGATAACACGACCCCTACCTCCCTAATCGACCAGCACTTGAGTCCCTATTAAGTCGATGTCTGGTCGATAACACGACCGCGACCTCCATAATCGACCAGTACTCGAGTCCCTAATAAATCAATGGCTGGTCGATAACACGACCCCTATCTCCATAATCGACCAGCACTGGAGTCCCTAAGAAGTCGATGGCTGGTCGATATTATGGCTCTCACAACCAACATCGACCAATACTCGAGTCTCAAATGAGTCGATGGCTTGTCGATATTGTGACCTTCATCCCTCAAGTCGACCAATACTCGAGTTCCTGATAAGTCGATATCTCGTCGATAACACGACCGCGACCTCCATAATCGACCAGCACTCGAGTCCCTAATAAGTCGATGGTCAGTCGATAGCACGACCCCGACCTCCAAAATTGACCAGCACTCGAGTCCCTATTGAGTCGATGGCTGGTCGATAATACGACCCCCGACCTCTCAAATCAACCAGCACTCGAGTCCCTAATAAGTCGATGTCTGGTCGGTAACACGACCCGGACCTCGCAAATCGACCAATACTCAAGTTCCTAATAAGTCGATGTCTGGTCAATAACATGACCGCGATCTCCATAATCGACTACCACTCGAGTCCCTAATAAGTCGATGACTGGTCGATAACACGACCTCGACCTCCAAAATCGACCAACACTCGAGTCCCTAATAAGTCGATGGTCAGTCGATAGCACGACCCCTACCTCCCTAATCGACCAGCACTTGAGTCCCTATTAAGTCGATGTCTGATCGATAACACGACCGCGACCTCCATAATCGACCAGTACTCGAGTCTCTAATAAATCGATGGCTGGTCGATAACACGACCCCTATCTCCATAATCGACCAGCACTGGAGTCCCTAAGAAGTCGATGTCTGGTCGATATTATGGCCTTCACACCCAACATCGACCAATACTTGAGTTCCTGATAAGTCGATATCTAGTCGATAACACGACCGCGACCTCCATAATGGACCAGCACTCGAGTCCCTAATAAGTCGATTACTGGTCGATAGCACGACCCCGACCTCCAAAATTGACCGGCACTCGAGTCCCTATTGAGTCGATGTCTGGTCGGTAACACGACCCGGACCTCGCAAATCGACCAATACTCAAGTTCCTAATATGTCGATGTCTGGTCAATAACATGACCGCGATCTCTATAATCGACTACCACTCGAGTCCCTAATAAGTCGATGACTGGTCGATAACACGACGTCGACCTCCAAAATCGACCAATACTTGAGTTTCTAGCAAGTCGATAGCTGGTCGATGTCATAGCTTTCATACTCCACATCGACCAATACTCGACTCCCTATTGAGTCGACGGACAGTCGGTAACACGACCCCCACCTCTGAAATCGACCAGTATTCGAGTATCTAACAAGTCGATGGCTGGTCGATTGGTAAGCTAGACACCCACATGACCATCGAATCAATCTCGACCACCTATCGACTGAGTGCACAACTCGATTTGGCCCTATCGACTGGTCCGTCAGGGTTGCTCGTCTATGTATAATTGTTGCAATACTTATTCAGAAAAACAATGTATTGGGAAATTTCAAGGTAATGCAGAAGCTCACTACATCATCACAATTCCCCCTGAGATTAGAAGGCGATTGTTCACGGCGAACATGATGATATTTGACTAAACATGGTCATATTCGACGAGACGCGTCAATATTCATTTATGTGCATTGATGTCTGATGATGCGTGTTGATATTCGATGACACGCGTTAATATATCATCGCTCGTTGATATACGATCACATCCGTTGTAAAGTCAATGATACGCGCGAACGTTCGATGATGTTTGTTGATATTCGATGACACGCGTTGCTATCCAAGCGTTAATATTCGACTACACATACTCATACTCGATAAGACGCGCTGATATCTGATGAAACGCGTTGATATCCGATGACCCGCATGGATATTCGACGAAACGGGTTGATATCCGATCACACGCATGGATATTCGATGATACGCGTTGATAGTTGATGAAGCGTGTGGATATTCGATGATACGTATTGACACTGGATGACATGCGTTGATATTTTCCATGACGCGTTAATATTCGATAATGTACATTGATCTTCGATAAAATTGTTGGATGCGCTGATAATCTCCGACACGCGTTAATATTTGCTGATGGACGTTAATATTCGATGACACGCGTTAATATCCGATCGCGCATTGATATTCGATGACGCACGGTGATTTCCGATCACATCCGTTGTAAAGTTAATGATACGCATGAACATTCGATGATGTTTATTGATATTCGATAATACGCGTTGATATCCAAGCTTTAATATTCGACTACGCATACTCATATTCGATGAGACGCGCTGATATCCGATGACACGCGTTAATATCCGATGACACACATTGATATTCGATGACACGCGTTAATATCCGATCGCCCATTGATATTCGATGACGCGCGGTGATTTCCGATCACATCTGTTGTAAAGTTAATGAAACGCGTGAACATTCGATGGTGTTTGTTGATATTCGATGATACGCGTTGGTATCCAAGCGTTAATATTCGACTACACATAGTCATACTCGATGAGACGCGCTGATATCCGATGACACACATTGATATTCGATGATAGGTGTCGATAGTTGATAAAACGTGTGGATATTCGATGACACGCGTTGACACTGGATGACATGCGTTGATATTTTCCGATACGCGTTAATATTCGATAATGTTCATTGATATTCGACAATATTCTCAGATGCGCTGATATTCTCTGACACGCACTGATCTCCGATGATACGCGTTGATATTCGATTATGTATGAGGATATTCGATGACACGCGTTGGTATCCGAGCGTTAATACTCGACTATACATGGTCATATTCGACGAGACACGTTGATATCCGATGAAACCCGTTGATATTCGATGACAGGTGTCGGCATTCATGGAGATGCATTCCTATTCGATGAAGTGCGCTGACATTCTCCGATACGCGTTGATATTTCATGATTTACGGTAATATTAGATAATTTACTTTGATATTCGATGGCATGCGTTGATATCTAATCGCGCGTTGGTATTCGTTGACGTACGTTTCGATCACGTACATTAAAACTCAACGATACGCGTTGATATTCGATGATGAGCGTTCATTTTTGACCTTACAATTTTAGTCTTATTTTGAACCTGACTACTTTTTGACCTTATTTTAGGTCTGAACATTTTGAGCCTCATTTTTGCTTGGCTACTAGCTTTCTGATCCTTGAAATTTTGACCCTCACTTTCTTTATTTTTACAATTTAGACTTTTCAAATTTCGATTTTCGTCACAAAAAAGTCCTACTTATTTTGGGCCTGACTTATTTTAGATCTTATTTTGAGCCTGAACATGTTGGGCCTCATTTTTGCCTGATCACCAGCTTTCTGACCCTCCAAATATTGACCCTCACTTCTTTTATTTCAAAATTTATACTTTTCAAATTTTGATCGTCATAAAAAAAGTCCCACTTAGGCATACCTCAAAGCGTTAAAAATTATTCATTTTTTGGGTCTCATAAATTTTCTGGCTAATATTTGAACTTGAGTTCAAATTTAGTTGTTTTGTAGTACTTGCTCTTCTATGTATAATTATTGGAATATTCATTCAAAGAAATCATGAATTGAGAAATTTAAAGGTAACGTAGTGGCTCACCACATCAACACAAGGCCACATGAGACTAGAAAGCTGATTGCTTATGGCGAACATGGTGATATTCGAGAAACAGGGGTTTATATTCGTGGACAGGCGTTAATATTCGATGATATGCATTAATTCGATAATACGCGGTAATATTCGATTATGTACATTGATATTCGACCGCACGCGTTGATATCCGATCGCATACGTTGATATTCACTTACACGCGCGGATATTCGATAACACGCATTGATATTGAATGA